TCTCTCTCTCTCTCTCTCTCTGTGTCTCCCTCTCTCTCTCTCTTAATCGTTTTATTTTTTGTCATCGTGTTATTGTTGTTAATAAATTAGTATACTTTTGGTTGAGCCTTCAGCAAAAACAAAAAAAGAAAAGAAAAGAAAAAAATAGCGTAATTTCTTTCATATCAGTTTGGGCCAAATGCCTGCGTGTTCTTCAGCATAATCTTACCGTATATCATTTTCTTTGAGACGGAGTCTGTAGTTTAGTTTTAGTAAGAGTTGAACGGTACTTGCAATACAATAAAGTGTCAAAGATTTTTTTTAAAATGAGGAGAGATGAGACGACAGATGTTTGATAAGAAAGAAGTAGCAAACCACGCCAGAGCACCCGCCAACCACCCACTACTCATCTGTGGTATAGGGAGTAGGTTCGTTGACGTTACATACAAAAGATATGAGTATGAGTTTCGATTTCCAAAGTTGTTGTTGTTTTTTTTCGACGAGCGCCTGATTCCAGCACGTCGCGACACTCACAAAGACCATGCTACTCCCCAGGGCAAAGGTTCCATGGAGACCTACTGGCTGCTGGGGGAGAAGGATTCGAACCCGGAGATTGTGGTCACAGGCCACCAACCGTCGCAGACGTCCGCGCGCCAGTCAGAGAGCTCTTCCTGCTCAGAGGTCAAGAAGTCGCCGTCTGTTCCCCAGGGAACCAGCGCCCACGTGCATGCCACAGAGTGCCCGCCCCTCTCACTCTAATATCTCCCTTCCTTGATACATTCCACTGGATATGACCAGGTAGAAAAAATCCAAAATAAAACCAAACCAAACCAAACCAACCAACAAACCAACCAAACAAAAACTAACCGAGGGGGAAAAATTAACCCTTCCATTTACTTGCGCAAACACTCGAAACTCTGCACGTATAATTGATTATACCGGTAAAAGATTTATTTATTGATGCATGTGAATATTGGGTGGTTTGGTAGCTTGGTGGTAATATTTCCGGACGTGTAGTTGTGAGATTGTGGGGGTTCAAATCTCAACTTGGGGG